TTTTTAAAAAGTGGAAATTTAATTGGTGATTAAGGTACTTCAGGCTTAGGAATTGCTTTAACAAATTACACTAATCTCTACAGTTTGACACTTTTTCTTGGGTAAAAACAGTTTATTTGTATAGGATTGAGATATTTCTATTTTTAAAAATGAATTTATAACAATTAAACTTTTTTAATTTGTATATGAGCTTTTTATAAATTTATCAATCTTTTTCTTTTTTATTACACTTGTGTTTTTTTCTTTTATCTTTCTTAATTTCACTCATTTTTAATTTTCAACATTTGCTTATATTATTTGTTAATTCATTTCAGATAATTTCTTATTTTTCTTCTCTTTTTCCTTCTAAAAAACATATTTATTTTATATTTTTTCATCAATATTTAAAAAGTGGAAATGAAATTGATAATTAAAGTATTTCAGGTTTCGGTTTTGCTTTAGCAAATTGCACTAACCTCTCAAATTTGACACTTTATCTTGGGTAAAAATAGTTTATTTGTTTGTTTTGGATTGTGATATTTCTATTTATAAAAATCAATTTAAAACAATTAAACTCTTTTAATTAATGGTTTTTATTAGTTTTAATTATCTTTTTCTTTTTTATTTTGCTATTTCTTTTTTTATTTAATTTTAAATTTAATTTTTATTAATATTTTTTTTAATTTAATTTAACATAAAAATAGAAACTCAATCAATGTATTATAATAATTGAAAGTAAAAAGCAAATATCTTAAATCAAAAAGATTAGTTGGCTTTAAAATAAATTTCTGGTGATATATAAGTGATGAAAATAGATGAATAAATATTAAATATATGACTAGTAGAAAATAATATGTTTTCTTTTTTAATATTTTGTAATAAGATAATTTAACCTAAAATATAGATAGATAGATGGATAGATTTATTTTTATTTTTACATTTATAAATATCATATTTATTTTGGTAAATTAGTAGATAGCTTATTAAATAAATGATAGTTCATAAATTAAATTTATAAAGGTGGTATATAAGTTTTTTCATATTCTTTGAAAGAATAATTGAATAAAATATACATACAATACAGCACATATTTTCTACTCAGCCATAAAAATAATCACTTTAGCTTTCTAAGACTTAAAAATATGAAAAAAATTTTTTTAGAAAAATAATCATAAATAAATATCAAATCTATAGTTCCTACTATATTTTTAACTACACATTTTAAACAGAAATATTAAGATTTAATAATCAAATTTAGTTACACTATCTTTTTTGTAATTTATAAATTCATATAATATATTTGTTCTTTTTATTTACTTATGATTAATTAAATTTTCATAAATTGCTATACAATATTTTTGAAAAAAATAATAAATGATGTAATAGATTAAATATTATAAAAAATTTGAAGAAGTATTTTCTTGTTTTTTATTAATATAATTTCAATTTATTTTTAATAATATAAAAAGATTTTAAACTCCTCACTTTAATCTTATTAGGCTCTCCATATTGATCTGAGGTATAATTAATTTTAAAATATTACTGTTATTAATATTATCTAAATATTTAATATTTAGTTTATTAAAAATATTATTTTTCAATAGAATTTATCAACTATATTCTATTCAAACATTTTATTGATAAAAATGATTTTTTTAGTCATTTTTTTCCCTTTAAAAAGTTTAAATTCATTTTTATTTTTTATACATTTTTTCCTTCTAACACTTTTATTGAATAAAAACAGTTTATTTATTTTGGATTGTAATATTTCTATTTATAAAAATGAATTTAAAATAATTAAACCTTTTTAATTTGTTTATTAGCTTTTAATTGGATTTATTAATCTTTTTCTTTCTTATTGTACTTACTTGTGTTTTTATTTCTTCTATCTTTCATAATTTCACTTATTTTTTATTTTCAACATTTGCTTTTCTTATTTGTTAATTCATTTCTGATAATTTCATTTTTTCCTTCAAAAAAATTTATTAATGATATATTTTTTCTTCAATATTTAAAAAGTTACAATTAAATTGGTGATTAAGGTACTTCACGCTTAGAAACTGTATTAACAAATTGTACTAATCTCTCAAATTTGACACTTGATCTTCAGTAAAAACAGTCTATGAGTTTAAGATTATGATATTTCTATTTATAAAAATGAATTTAAAAAAATTAAGCTCTTTTAATTTGTTTATTAGCTTTTTATTACATTTAATAATCTTTTATTTTTTAATTTACTAGTTTTTGTATTTCATCTATCTTCTTAAATAATTTATTATTAATTTTATATTTTTTCTTAAATAATTAAAAAGTAGAAATTAAATTGGTGCAAGTGGTGCATCATGCTTAGGTTCTGCTTTAGCAAATTGCATTAATCTCTCAAATTTGACACTTTATCTTAGGTAAAAACAGTTTATTTGTTTTGGATTGTGATATTTTTATAGAAAAATGAATTATAAACAATTAAATCTTTTAATTTGTTTGTTATCTTTTTATTTTATTTATTAATCTTTTTCTTTCTTTTTTATTAATCTTGTGTTTATATTTCTACTATCTTTCTAAATAATTTATTAATTAGATATTTTCTCTTCAATATATAAAAAGTACTAACTAAATTGGTAATTAAGGTACTTCAGCCTTATGTTCTGCTTTAGTTAATTGCACTAATCTCTCAAATTTGATACTTGATCTTCGGTAAAAACAGTTTATTTGCTTTGGATTGTGATATCTCTATTAATAAAAATTAATTTAAAACAATTAAATTCTTTTAATTTGTTTATTAGTTTTTATTACATTTATTTATCTTTTTCTTTTTATTTTACGTATTTGTGTATGTATTTCTTCTATCTTTCTAAATAATTTATTAATTATATATTTTTTCTTCAATTTTTCAAAAGTTACAATTAAATTGGTGCAAGTGGGGCATCAGGCTTAGGTTGTGCTTTAGTAAATTGCATTAATCTCTCAAATTTGACACTTGATCTTGGGTAAAAACAGTTTATTTGTTTTGTTAGGATTGTGATATTTTTATTTATAAAAATTAATTTAAAACAATTAAACTCTTTAAAATTCATTTATTTGCTTTTTTTTAGATTTATTAATCTTTTTCTTTTTTATAAAACTTGTGTTTTTTTTACTTCTAACTTTCTAAATAACTTATTAATTATATGTTTTTTCTTCAATTTTTAAAAAGTGGAAATTAAATTGGTGATTAAGGAACTTCAGGCTTAGGTTCTGCTTTAGCAAATTGCACTAATCTCTCAAATTTGGCACTTGATCTTGGGTAAAAAACAGTTTATTTGTTTTGGATTGTGATATTTTTATTTATAAAAATGAATTTAAAACGATTAAACTCTTTTTATTTGTTTATTAGCTTTTTATTAGATTAATTAATCTTTTTCTTTCTTTTTTATTGTACTGCGTTTTTATTTCTTCTATCTTTCATAATTTCACTCATTTTTTATTTTCAATATTTGCTTTTATTATTTATAAATTCATATTTTTTCCTTCTAAATAATTTATTAGTTTTATATTTTTTCTTCAATATTTAAAAAGTTACAATTAAATTGGTAATTAAGGTACTTCATGCTTAGGAAATGCTTTAGCAAATTGCACTAAACTATCAAATTTGACACTTAATCTTGGGTAAAAACAGTTTATTTGTTTTGGGTTATGATATTACTTTTGAAAAATTAATTTAAAACAATTAAAACTTTTAATTTGTTTATTAGCTTTTTATTAGATTTAATTATCTTTTTCTTTTTTAATTTGCTAATGCTTTTTTTATTTAATTTTATTTATAATTTTTAATTCAATAATTTTATTCTATTTAATTTAATTTAATATAATATAGAAACATAAAGTAATTGAATGTAAAGAATAAATTAAGCAAATGTCTTAAATCAAAAAGATTAGTTTTCTTTAAAATAAATTTCTGGTGATAGACAAGTGATGAAGAAGGATGTATAAATATTAAAAATATGACTGGTTGAAAATAATTTGTTTTCTTATATTATATTTTGTAATAAGATAATATAACCAAAAATATAGATAGATAGATTTTTTTCATTTATATTTATGAATATTTTATTTATTTTGGTAAATTAGTAGATAGCTTATTAAATAAATGAGAGTTCACAAATTAAATTTAGTTAAATAAATAAATAAATAAATGAATATCTCTAAAACTAACCCTCTGTTTTAGTCAAAAACAATCAAAACTTTTAAAAAATAATCATAAATACTTCAAAACATTTTTTTATTTTAGTGAGTTCGCATTCTCACTATCCTTAATATCCAATCTATAGTTCCTACTATATTTTTAACTACACATTTTAAATAGAAATATTAAGATTTAATAATCAAAGTTAATTACACTATCTTTTTTGTAATTTATAAATTCATATAATATATTTGTTCTTTTTATTTACTTATAATTAATTAAATTTTCATAAATTGTTATTCAATATTTTTGAAAAAAAAAAATAAATGATGTAATAGATTAAATATTATAAAAAATTTGAAGAAGTAATTTCTTGTTTTTTCTTATTAACTTTCAATTTATTTTTAAAAATAAAAAAAGATTTTAAACTCTTCACTTTAATCTTATTAGGCTCTCCATATTGATCTTAGGTATAATTAATTTTAAAATA